CAATTTCTACAATATGTGTTTCTGCTAACAAAACCAAAAGTGGACGATTATCTTCTACAATCTGACGTAATGTTACGTAGTTTGTAGGATGACGAAGCAACGGCTATTAGGCGGAATTGTAAAGATGGTAACCATACATGGACTTCCGTTTAAAGCCACTGAATGGGAAGGATTTCAGGAAGTGGTAGGTCCATTGCTGAAGGCCTATAACTTGACCATTAACAGACACAATATCGCACAGTATGTGTCAAAAGCGGCAGATGGCATTAATTGTATGATTTACAAAGAGTTGCACGGGGTGATGATTTCGCTCAAGCTGGAAATTGTGTCTAAAATGTATCGGAGCATGCTGGGTATCAACTGTCAGTACATCAACAATAACGGTGCTCTTATTAAGCGAAATCTGGGTAAGTATTGGCAAAATAGAACAACTTGTGAAATAAGCGGAAGAGCCATTTGTAAGCTTACGCTTCTTGTTTTGATTCCAATAGTTACACAATCTACTTGAGGTGGCTTTCTACCTACTGGTGATTTTAGTAATCACATAATAGTAAACAAGTGTAAAGAATCGAAGTGACTAAAATCTTCCACACAGAACTGTCTCTTCTGCCGTTTTGAAATGTTGTCCCAAATTGATGCGTATTTTTAACGATGGTTTTTTTTAGGCATTATTGAGCTGCATAGTCGTCACACTAGCATGATCCTCAAAGAAGAGTTGCTTAAAGTTCTGAAGTCCTTCGGCGTCGATACGTGGCAAATAGCTGCTGTTACTATTGACAATGCGTCTAATATGGTCAAGCTAGTGAAGCTGCTATCAGATGAGAGTGAATCTTCGTTTGAATACAGTGATGACGCAGATAACGATGAAACCGTCTTATTGAACGAACTTGAGGCAGATGATTTCGACGCTCTTGATAATGATTCACCTGAAAGACCAGTAGTTCAGGAGTGGGCGAAAATTTTGGAGGAGTTTGCACCTGATGAGTTCATCACTGTTGTCCGCTGTGGAGCCCACACTACACAATTGGTTGTCCATGACGTCTGCAAGGAGAACGAGCATAAAGATGCTCTGAGGGACATAAGAAAGAAGGTGAAGAAGTTTCGGTCCACTGAGTACAAAGCATTTTTTGACGTCAGTGGAGGAGGTTCTTATCCACCGCTTCCAAACGAAACTCGTTGGAATTCGGATTACAGAATGCTGCATAAGTTAAAAAAGGAGAAGTCATTTTTCGAAAAGTTGGGAACACAATACTCTGAATTAGGTAATGTACACATATTTACGCACACTAACTGTTATAAATATGAGCTCGCGTGGAAATTATAGCAACTCTGGCATTAATTTTGCGTAACCTTAAAAAAGTATTGAGTTCTATATTAATAAATTTGTATTAATGATGATAATTTTTTCAGATCTATCGAAATATTGGGATTTCATTGAAGAATATGTAACAGCGTTCGATCCTTTGTATCAGTGCATAATCGATGTTCAAAAACTCGAGTTAACACTGTCTGATTTTTACATCGAGTGGATTCGAACGTACGGCAGTATTCAAGAGTTGGAAGAAACTAATAGATTCAAGAAGCAGTTAATTTCAGCAATGGATCGTCGTCAAACCAAATTGTTTTGTAATCGCATCTTCCGAGTAGCTGTATACTTTGACCCACGTCTGATTTTCAATGGATCGAATTTGCTCTCTCAGGCACATAAAGAAGACGCTCTGGTAAATCTTTTAAATAATGTTTTCTTCTTATTTACCGATTTAAGCTTTAGGATTTTTGTTTGCAAATTTGGGCTCGAATCCGACCTGGAAGTAAACTACCTGACGAGTATAATACAAACCCTGCGGTTACGACGAACGTTTCAAAGACAGAGCGTCCATCATGTAGCAAATTCCGTCTAAATGAGTATCTAACTCGCACCATTGGATCGGGTGCTCCTCAGACGATTCAATTGAGATCTTTGGAAATGAGAATTCGCAGTGTTCAATATCAACAGAGAATCGATGCTGATGAACCCTTTAGCATTGCTCAATATTGGGCCGCTAAAAGGTTTGAGGAATCGCAGCTATGGATGATTGCTAAAGTCATTCTTGGTGTACCTGCAACGCAGTGCTCAATTGAACGCGATTTAAATTTATTCAATTCGATTTTGACAAAATCAAGGAACCAGCTGAGCTCAAAAAGTCTGCGGGATGTGCTAAAAGTACGCAGAAACAGTAATCTTGTAAAACCTGCTCTGGCTTACATGCTCAGTAAGGATAACAGTACTATGGAAGACCTTGCAGGGTCAGCATCTGATACTTAATAACAAATAACGTTAGTAAAACGTAAGAAGAAAGAAGATCAAGACTGAAGAGAAGATCGGAGCAGAATATGAAGATAGATTTAAAGGAAAGGAAGTCGAGCTAAGATGTAGATAATAAAGAGGACTAGAAAGAAGAAGAATAACAAGGAATCATATCTGTTATCGTCTTGTAAAGTCAGCTCCTGCTTCATTGCTGAGTATAGGTAAGAGTAGGTAATACAGTGATAGCTGAAGTGATATCAAGGAGAAAAGAGAAAGGAAAAATATAATCAAGGAAGATGTTTAGTGAAAAAGAAGAAGAATATACAGGAATATGAAAACTAAGAAGAAGAAGAAAAATAAGATCAATAAGAGGATTAGAACCAAATAAAAGAACTAATATCAAGGAATAGTCTGTATCCATGTTCTGATGTTTAAGCTACTTTTAAATTAAAATAAATCAGTGGTATTAAATACAAAATCAAGCATTTTAATACTTTGGATTTAATCAACAATATTTATTTTTCTTACATACAGATTATCCACGAACTAAGTCATGCATTCGCAAATGTAATAATGCATTAACAATTACCATAACAATTGCTGTGCTGTGTTGCAATGATTGAGGTTCAATTGGGTTACCTCCAGTATGCGGGAAATCATTTCAAATCTCATTAATTGAGCCTCCTTTAGAGAATTATCTCACGTGCAAATCTGGCAAACAAATCACACACTTGAAATTCTCATGCATTTTCCCACATTCACACATTCACAGTAATAATAATGAATAACGCTAAACTATCGAGCAATGAATTTTTGAACCAGAAAACTCATCGGTGATTTTTGCGTAGTTGAATTTTGCAAGGCAAGACTCATAGGCGAATAAACTCACGCATGCGTTTTTGAGTTCCGAACACTGGTACCTACATTACTTTTGGCCCGCCATCACCTTTTGAGACGCTGGGCATTGGAAGCCTACCATCGTATGACCGTTTCCGTCCTCCTTGCAGAGTAAGCTCCTTGGTTGCATCTAGCAGTCCCTCACAACTTTCCCATTGCCACCGCATTTTCTGCAAAGGTCCGGTCAGTTCAGGTGAGTGTGTGTGTGTGGGTGGGGGAAGGTGCAAGTTTTTTGTGCGTGAGGAAATTGTCCAAACGACTTTCTTGGGAACCACTAAAATAAACCCACATTTTATATTTATTCTTTATTATTGAGATTTTTAGTTATAAGCTAGTTCATCTCATAATAAACCAACAATATTTTTTAAATCTTTCGGTGAAGGTGTTTTTTGGGACTAAATCTGACCTGTGACAAATAAACCCACGAAGCAACACATCAAAATCCTACAACAGTTGTTCATTTAATTTAGAAGTTGGATTAAAATAGATAAAACATGTCGTTAGAGGAGAATTTCCTACTGTTCATTCACTACTGAGTGTTATGCGTTGGGGAGTGTTCAGTATATGAAACATCTGTTTAAAAACGGTGTAAATGGTGTTGTTTAAAGAAGTATTGAAATAAGTATGAACAGATATACCGAGTTGTAGCATTGTACTGCCCCGTAACGCGGGTGGATCACCTTTTCGTGGTACGTTACGGGATGTAAGATCGACCACCGATTCCTAGTCCTGACTTCTTTAAACTAGGGGAACAGGATTTTACAGTAATCAAGGGCGGGTGCATCGTTATTTTTGGGAGATTTAAATTTAAGGGTGCAGGGCAATATTAGGTGCGACTACTTGTCTCAAATTTTAGGAACACAGCACTGTTGCAATCTGATATGTTAAAATCTCTTGAGGGGTCAATGGATTCTATAGGAGCACACATTGAGATTAGAATATTCCAGAAATCCTTTGCACGTGCAAACCCCCTTCGGTGCAAACGAGCATCGAAAGATAATCAAACGACGTGAAATGTAATTTATTTTTATGGCCATTATCCTGAACATCCCATTCGGTCGTCCGAACGATCGTCGCCTCACCGTCAACTGGGGAAGCTGCACAAAGGGAGAGAAAATATGTGAAGGCTATAATTTACCGGACCGACCACCGCAAACGGATGGCGGCTGGTTGGGAATGCGCAATGAGCTAAACGGGTGAGTACCTTGGCCGTGACCGTCACCGGTATATTTTCTTAGGTAACAATCATATGGCAGGGCAGAGGTAGAGCCCTTCCTCATGGTGGTGCTGGTCGACGGTGTCGTTGTCGCCACACCACTCCCAATAAATAAGGGCGTTGCTGCGAAAGCACCGCTCAAGAGATGAAGACAACCGCTTTCATTGAACTTGACCTTGAATTGCAGTGCGCACCGAGTGCGAAGAAGCTCGTACCAGAGGAAAATTGACGATTGGAACAAAAACAAAATGCTCTCGGGAAGAAGAGTCCACCGGGATGGGTTGGAGGTATTTATTTCTTTATTGTTATACAATCGAATGGTAGTGCATTTGATGTTGCGGTGAAGGGGGTAATTGGTACTTTGAGACATATAAGGAGAAGCTAAATGAGAAAAAAAAAATGTTAGCTAGAATCGGTCTGAAGCTCGGTCGATGGGCTGGGAGGCGAATGATCGGTGGCCACAAATCGTTTTCCATCCAATCTGAGCAAACCTGCAATTACGTCAGTGCTCCATTATTGTCCGCTGAATTGTGAGGACATAAAATCGAATCGGATTCGTTCGGAATGTATCAGCAGCAAAATGAAGGGAACACAAGTTGGTTTGTTTTATTACTCGTTTTATTATTTTTTTTCAGCTTTTTACAAACATTTTACATTTTTTACCTTTGAGTTCGGTTTTTTGTCTTTTTAAGATAGGACGGCACTTGCGTTTGATCTGTTCCTTTTTTTCTGTTTGTTTTTAATATGAGAATCACAATTAAATAAATATTTCGTTTCGTTCGATTAAAAAAATAATAAATAAATTAATTGATGAAAGCAATCCATTCCTCCATACCTTCACCCACTCGAAATGCTCTCACTCGCAAACTTTCCAACCATTTATGTTTACATAATGGGAGGAACTTGGCGAGCAAGCCCTAGATTGATGGTACCGACGGGAGAGGAAAGGAGCTTTATCGCGAAGAATTTTTTGTCACTACAAACGAAATGATCTGACTTGATGAGTTTCCATTAAAAACGTAAGATTCCTTAAAATAAGAAAGGAATGTCAAGCTTTCTATCTCTCTATCTCTCTGGGTGTTTGTGTGAGTCGTATGGCTTAGAACAAGTACAGGACCCTAATTAGCGTAAACTTAAAAGTTTATTTATCTAGGCGGTTTCGTTTTCCGTGTTCTGGGCTGGTTCGGGGTTTTCTGGGGCTGGTTCGGCGGCTGTGAGAGTATCAGCGGATGCAGGAGCAGCAGCTGGTTGTTCGGCAACAGGGGAGGCAGCAGCGGCGGCAGCAGGAGCTGAATTCTCGGAGCTCGATGGGGCAGATGTTGGTCGGAAGAAGTTCTGCACGTTTTGGACTATGCTCTGGATTGGGTTTGGCTGCTGCTGGCCAGGCTGTTCGGAATTGCTGGATGGCCGATTCAGGACTGATCCGACGGCATTCTGGACCTGCTGGATAAAGTTTGGCTGAGCTGTGGTGGCTTCACCGGTCTGGGAATTTTGCGAGTTTGGATTCAAGAAGTTTTGGAAGTTTTGACCGATCTGTTGGATGAAATTGGGTGCAGCAGTGCTGGTAGTGGCTGCATCCTGAACAATCTCAGCCGCATCAGCCGCAGCAGGAGCGTCAGCTGGGGCAGCAGTGGTCGTTGAACCACGGTTTAAAATCGATCCGATTGGGCTATTTTGGATGAGGTTATTGACTGGCTGAATGATCTGCTGAATCAAGTTGGGGCGAGCAGTGGTAGCATCTTGCTTGACATCAAGAGCACGGAGAACATCAGATGGTTCCTGTTCAACTTCCTTCAATGGAGCAACTTCTTCAGCAACTGGAACGGTCTTGAGAGCGATGACCTGTTCTTCAACTGGCTTCTCAGCTTCTACTTTAACTTCTTCAACCTTTTCTTCAGTAACAGCTTTGACTACTGGCACTACCTCATTCTCGGCAACTGCAGTAGCAACAACCTCTGGTTCTTCAACTCCTACAACTGGGATTACGGATCGCAGGGAATCGACTGGAGCAACGACCTTCTCTTCAACGGCAACTTCAACAGCTGGAACCTTCTCTTCAGCAACATCAGCAGCAACAGCTGGAGCAGCGGCATCATTGGCAGCAACCTCGGCAACAACCTCTACAACTGGCTCAGCAATGAGTACCTTCTTCTCTTCGACAATGGCAATGGGTTCTTCAACGCCAACAACTGGAGCAGCAGAGCGCAGGGATTCAACTGGGGCCACTTCCTTTTCTTCAGTTACATTTTCTTCAACATCATCAGACTCATCAATACTATCAGCAATAGCAGCGGCAGCAACTTCAGATTCAACTTCAGCGACCATTTCTTCGAAAGCCTTGATTTCCTGTGCATCAACAATCGTGTCTTTGACTACTTCCTCCTTAGATTCGTCAGCAACGACAGCAACTGGTTCCTCAACAGCAATAACAGGCTCAACGATCTTCAGCGATACGACTGGAGCAACTTCAGCTTCCTTGACGGCAACAGCTTCTTCAACAACCTTTTCCTCAGCCTTATCCATGATCACTTCGGCAACGGTCCTCACGGCTGGAACGACGGTTTCCTCCTTAATCTCGACGACAGGTTCATCCTTAACGACAGCAACAGCTGGCACCTCTTCTTCAGCCACTGGCAGAGCGCTACGCAGAGATTCCTCAGGATTGCTGTTGACCTGCTCATCCTTGATATCTTCAACGACGACCTTCTCGACAACTTCGATGACTGGTTCGACCTTACGCAGCGAATCAACTGCAGCAACAATCTTTTCTTCCACTACAGGCTCGATAACGACTTCGGCATCCTTGACGACTGCAACGGGCTCTTCGACGGCTATCACCGGGGAAGCACTACGTAGAACCTCAACGGATTCCTTTTCTTCGGCGACGACTGCATCTTCATTGACGACACCGACCGGCTCAGCGATCTCAACGACCTCAACGGTACGTTGATTTTCGACTGGCACGATGGTTTCCTCCAGGACGACTTGGGCTGGTTCTTCCTCGACGGCAACTGGGATTTCATCCTTGCGCAGCTCGTTCACGATTTCCTCCTTGATGATCTCTTCCGCTACTGGCAGCACATCTTCGCGCGCCACTCGGATAATCGAGGCACCGAAAACTCCACTCAACGCCACACAGGCTAACGCACAAATTAATAAAACTTTCATTTCCTACAACAAGAGTCTTTCCGAGATCACCCGTAGAAAGATCGTCGAAAATGTGAGTATTGTTTTGGCACAAATAATTCACTAAAATATGTTTTTGTTCAGTTGCTACACACAATCAGTCAGTCACTCTCGTTTGTTCACTTTCTCTTTGCCACCGTTCTGCTAATGAGTGTATGCTCCCTTCGTTCCTGTTCGGCGTTGTGATCGACGACGATCTGCACTTAGCCAATTAATGTCTCCGACTGAATGTAAAATGAGAAAGAAGCTCGATTTTATATCACCGTTGGTCGTAAGCCGATGACCCGTTATATTTTTTTCTTTCTTTTCCTCTTTTCGCTTTCCTTTCTCACTTTAGAGTCCGCTTCCCATTCCTTCCGTCCTCCGTCCTTCCTGATCGATCCAGCGGGACTGGAGGTGGTGGCAAAGTTCTGTATGCAATCAGCAAGTCCCACACCACACCGGCCAGCATAACATGTTGAGCCCAAATCACGGATCACCTCCAGAGAAAACAGACAGCAAGAGCGAGACCATCCAAAAAAGGGAAGAAAGAGCCACTCGGTTTTGATGTGCTCACATCCGAGAAAGATGGCAAAAAGAATCTTCGGATGGAGTTTTCGCTCTTTCGCACCCATCGCCTCCCTTCTTCTACTGCCCAACCGGCCGCGCCATGAAGCATTCGAATCACGGCGGACATTCATAAACCAATTCTTTCTTCCCTCCAGGGGGGATTGGATGTGCCATTTGCCCATGGGTTCACTTATTTACTTTGTTGTTTTTTTCTTTCCTCTCGCTGACTGACTGGCACCAGCAGAATCTTCCCGTCCAGAAACGTTAGATCGACCACTTGACCCCAGCTCGATGGTTTCCCTCCGTGCCCACCGTTGAAGTCGTCGTCTTTCGCTGCCGGCCCAGCTCTCTTGCTAGCTGCCGATGATGCTACTGGAGGGGGTAATTTTATTTTCTAACTTCTTGTTCTTTGCGCCGCCGCTGACCGGCCTGGACAGATCTTCCTCGTGTGGTTATCAATAGTAGAAGAATAGACTGTACACAAACAAAAGGGGTGAATCTCGATCTTACTAATTGGCATGTTCTTTACAGCTTAATTTAGGCAATATTTTTTATTCGTAAGGTTAATGTCCCTAACATTGGGCCCATACATAAATTTCGAAGGAAGGCATTTTTTGCCAATTTTTAACTACTAATCAAAAATATCCAATTGATTTGTCCAGATGATTGCATTGTTCTAAGGAAAATTGAAAAACTGGATATTTTTACCGATGGACTCTATCTTCAGATTCCTTGGTCATGTCCCCGATATGCCACCAAAGAGTATTACTTGAAAGTAACTCAAGTGCGCCACCCATACCTATTAGCTCATATACAAGCCTGTACGAAAACGTGGTGCAGTAGCCCAACAATAATGGGTTAATAACTTTTTGCCCCGAAGTTCAATCAATTTGCGTTCTTCAACTGCATTGTTAATCTCATGTTTGATCACAATTTAAATTTATTTTTTAATTTAATCAATATAATAGTTTTGCTGTATTTTTTTAATTAAATATATTGTTTAAATAAAATACAAATAAGTGTATTTGAGGTAAATTTTGAATGATTGATAACATTTTACGTTCACTTGCGCGTTTTTTAGAAAATTCATTCATAAAATCATTTTTTTTTTGTTCAAATTATATACATATTTTTAAGTACTTTAAAAAATGAACCATTGATCTGGAAGAGATTGGATTGATCAGCACCGATCGAAGAAAAATGATAAAAGTATTCTACAATACTACAAACGTGAATTTCAACCTAATTTTATAAATCTTCGTATATTTCAGATGTTTGAAGACATACACACTTAATTTAGCTCGGTAAAATCTCCAACAGCCGATTACCTCGGCATTTACTTTTGCTGATATCTCTGCAAAATATCTGTTTGCTAGCCGATATCTCAGCACAATGTTACTTGTTAGCTGAGTCTCGGCAATTGTTTTACTGAGTCTCAGCAATATAAATATCGGCAAAAAAATTTAAGTGTGCACAACTTCTATGTTTCATAAAATTCTCAGCAGCATTTTTTCAAAAAATTCTACGTTCTACAACTTTGCCGAAGTCAGCAAACCTCTATTTGCGAAATAAAAAAAAGCTTGTACTGCTGCACCATCTTTGCGGAAAAAACTTGAACTATTTTTATTCACCAAATTGTTAGTCCTAATAAATCCAAAGAACTCGACTCAAGACGTCAACTTAATTGGATGCAATCACAGAGTGTTATTAATGGTTGCCTCCTAGATTTAATTCCTGACCCACTGTGCAACGTAGACATCTCAGAGATAAGTGCAGTAGGGTGATGTTGCATACTGTACCATCATCAGCAATGTTGACTGTTACTCCTGCCTTGAGTTATTACATTCAATCAAAGTGTGTTGTTACTTCTTACGTGATTTTCAGAGTTGTATTTTATTTATTAGGGATATATTCAATGAACGTTGCTTGGGAAAATCTGTTGAAAATGCGTTTGATATTGTTTGCGCCTGTAACTTCAAACCGGTTGGTTGAATATCTCCTTAGTGATAACATAACATAACATAACATAACATAACATAACATAAACAAATTATTGGAAATGCAATACCCCTAGTAGCACGCTTATCACAAATCAATTGTAGAATCTTATATACGACTTATTTCAGTCATAAACAAGTTGCTGTGATTGTGATGATGTGTATTGTGTGCTACTCGGGACACTTACTCAAGTTCATGAGCCACCCATGGTACAACACGAAAAACACATAAAATGACTTGATGACAGGAGAAAAATACTTGTATTTATTTTCAAACTATCTCAAAAATTTCTGCATTTAGAAAGATGACCATCATGGGCATTTTTGTTCTAAATGTCATCAGAATTAGTTATAAGTGATTAAAATTCATACCTACATTGGAAAACATAGATTTTCAGTCATCAAAGCTGATTTTCTCGAATTCTGTTAATACATTTTCCACCATCAATTATGCGATGTTTAAAAGTCTCTAATTGACTTCTATATTTACTTGACAAAATTATAAAGCAAAAAATATATTTTTAATAATCTGGATTGGAGTTTTGATATCAAATTTAAATTGTTTTTAGCAGCAAGTTTATTGGAAATTTTATAAACTCAATTCATTACAACTCGTACTCGTCTGGTATAATCAGCAGTTGCTGGGGTTCGAATAAACTTTACCGGCTTAATGCCAAGAAGAAAAAGATCCCCTCTATTGTGGTAGCCACTTCGATTTCCATGCTCTTCGGACGGAACTTTTGAACTTCGTTAATTCAAGTTTTCACTGCAAATTGGCCATCGCGGTGAATGCCGTTTATTCGCTGAAACCTTGACAGATTTAAATATTATCTCCAGTATCTTCCTGAGAAGCAACATATTTTTTTTACAGATGACACCAACTCTGTTCAAAGTTGTTTTGAAAGGTCTGCTAAAAGGTGAATCCCTGGATCAGATAAAATATGAATTGATAAAATTACTTGGAGCTTAGCCAGTCCAAGTAATCAAAATGAAAACGAAGTCCCGTCCTGGCGATTCACGCAACGGAATTTCAAATAATTTTAATTTTTAATCCAAGTCTACTGTACTTAACAACCCTAAGGCCTGGTAAAAAGTTAGCCTTATGCACCATGTTCTAGTCAAGCAGAAACACTTTAGGAAGACTAGAGGAAATTTACAAAACCGCACCCAGTGCCGTAAGTGCTAGGGATGGGGTCACAAAACATCAAATTGGAACATGCCAGCTAAATGTGTGAATTGTGGTAATTCCTGTCCTATGGAGGGAGATCCTAAGAAATTTAAATGTGCAAATGTGAAAACTAAAAATCCAATTTCTGAGAATGTAAGCAGTACTGTGTTCCTTAAGTTTGAGCTAAGTAGTCCCACGCAATATTGACCTGCGCCCTTAAAATACAAATCTGCTTAAAATGACGATCTTTAAAAAAATGACGTTTAAAATAGTGTATTATCCAGTTGATATATGTTGCAAAATAATTGCACTTTATCGCTGCTGCACGATGAGCAGCTCTGTACTCTACAGGTGGCGAAGGTGGCATTTGCCACACAACGAAAATCTCTCTAATGTTCCTTGAACATCTACAGTCTACGTTTAGAAAGGTAAATTAATTTGGAATAATTGAGTTCGAAAAAGAGAGGTTAAGTGCAGGTTATGCTTAGTAGAACGGAAATTAGATCAAAAACGCTATTACCAATTAGATTTACCAGATGATCAAGAACCGCTAGAGCGAGAGCGAGACCTAAAAAATGTTGAAAAAGCTGAAAAACGTGCTGAATACGCTTGAGGACGATATAATTTGCGTCTTTGGAACTTGAAAAAGTACTGATTTACTTCAGAAAAGTTCGAAATCCCTTCGTAAAATACTAAAGCACTTCATAAAACAACAACTTCTAAAATAACTGAATCACTTTAGAAATGTTCGGAATCACATCGGTAAATACTGAATTACTTCAGAAATGTCCAAAATCTTTTCAGAAAGTACCGAATCACTTTACAAACGATCTAAATCATTTCGGAAAGTACTGAAGCACATGAGCAATGTTCTTAACCACTTCGGAAAGTACTGATTCGCTTAATAATAATCGAAATCTCTTCTGAAATTATTGAATAACTGCAGAAATGCTCGGCGTCACTTTGTAAAGTACTAAAGTTCTGTCCAGTTAGAATCCAGAATCATTTATTGTGTTGCAGCGGCACGGAAAGTGACCGCTGCAAGAATTATTTTACAGCGGTTTGTTTACCTAGGCGCCCACTTTCTGTGGTATAAATTTCACGGTGTTTCGTGCAGTGAGTCAAAAATTATTCCAGATGGAAGCCGAGAGGAGAGAAAAAATTCTGCACACCCACGTTGATAATCCAACGTGGTCCGCAATAAAAATCGTGGCCAAAAATTCTACATGGCGATGGCACGAGGAGATGTTCCTGCGAAGTTTAAGTTTGTTTTTATGGACAAATTTGCCAAAAAACTTATGATTTGGCAAGGGATATGCAGCTGCGGAGCAAAGACCAAAGTGTTCGTGACGAGTAAGACGATGGACTCGAAGCTGTACAAGGAAGAATGCCTCAAAAACCGCGTACTACCTTTCATTAAAGCCCCTAAAGGTCCCGTGAAGTTTTGTCCAGATTTGGCGACTACAGCCGGGAAGTCATCCAGTGGTACCGCGATAATAACGTAGATTTCATCGATAAAAACATAAATCCACCCA